CAATATAATATGTGCCGACTATAAGCGCGTTCAGCTATAGGCCAAGCCACCAAAACCGTTGCGATCGAACGCCGCGCACACTGCGCCTGCGCCAAAGTATAAATGCTGAAAACGATGCAAGAATGTACTTTTACGAGAAAACACCATTAACACGAAGTAGGGAATAATTAAGGTAACAACCGACCTCGACGTAACTGCAGGGAAAAACCGCAGACCTGCGGAAAAATTATAAAAACGCATAACGCCAACACAATGCATCGCCGCGCAACCCTGAATACACCCACCGGTCACAAAAGGCCTCTGAATGCGAACGAAATCATCGCGAATAAAATCGCAGCGCAAGTAACTTAAAAAAAGCCTTAAACAAACACCCAAATTCCACGTGCACAAAGAACGAAAGATCCGGAATAACACAGAAACGTACGATGAAAAAACGCGCAAGGCACAAATGCAAGTTCTACCGCAACGGGCTGCAGCACGCGACGACCAAACGCGCCAATACGAATCTCGCGACTCCCGCAGTAAAACAAAGTGCGCAATCTAACCAAAATCCAATTATTATTAATGCAAATCACTAATAACATAATCAGCAAGTAATAAAGATTTCGCAATAACACGAGGACGTGAACATCCCCTTACCGCGAGGGGTCACGATGTTAACAATATTTAAACGAGCGCGTTCACAGACTCGGTTCCTATTCATTCCTATCCACCAAAAGCTAAGGTAGGAATACCGCGCTTACATTGAGCGCAAGCGACTTCCCATGTAACCTCAAAAATCCGGCCTTAACCGTGCGCCTCCCCAGGCGTCGTTAAAGCCATCCTTACCCGTGACTCTAAGCGCGGCTCGTGCAGGCGCGCTGACGAGCCACATTTCCACGTGGAGCTCAAACGAGCGCCTTCATCGGCGTCGAGGCCTCCACAACCTTCCCCCCTTTTTTCGTTTGTCTTATTACGTTTATACCAAATAATAAATTCGCGTAATTATAATATAAAAATAATAGAAACATAAATTCATATCTCTCACTTTTACCCCTTCCAGATCCTTCACAGAAACGGAGAGGGTAGATAGAGCGAGTGTATGATGATCATACATACAGTTGCCCTCTCAAGAGATTATAATCTCCATGTTATGAGTGCCTACAGCACGCATGGGGGCGCTAATAAAATCTGAAAACTCCTCTAATTCTCCGATTTATTTTCTCTCCGAAGGACCTCGAAGGAAACGACATAATATCAAAGCCTTCCCAGAATCTCCGATAAATTACGAAGATTTTGTGCCTTTACGAAAGGCACTGGTGACAGTAGCCTGCCCCCGTACGCGTAAACAGTTATCGAAACATCGCTCTGCAGAAGCTAATGCTTCGCCCCGCGCGCCCCGCTCCGCGCTCGCGCTACACACGATTTGTGCCGCGTCTCGAAAGACAACAAGCCCGATAAACACGCGACTTCGGACGTGACACCGATAATCGATTGCCCGACCTCGCTGCGCCGTGCAGTCAAAGAAAAGTTGACGGTATTTCACACTTGGCGATATTTCACCGGTCGACATATCGCAATGTTACCGTCAACACTTATCCCAGAGTAGCACGATTCTGTTGGTAATCATTTCTGGCCGAGCAAATATTACTCGGAGGAACGGTTCATTCGTAACATTTCGGTTTTGGTTCCCTGGAGGATTTAATCGCTGTACTTTCGATCAACAGCGTCAGAGACGACGGAGCTCCAATGAAACTGCTTAAATGAAGATCAATGGATTAATGAAAGAGATTATGGATTCATATGTAGACAGAAAGAGAACGTAAAAGTATTTCCTGCTAGATTACATTCGTTAAGAATGCAAAATATATAAATGAAATGTGTTACATAACTCGAAATAATTAATTTTAAGTATTTAATTAAATAAAAATATAAAATTTTTAATACCAATACATAATTTTCTAACTTTTTCTAGGGAAACGTAAGAATATAAGTCAGTGTAATTTGTTCTTACATCATTGAGTCATATACAGAACATTTTATTAATTTTAATGCCTCTCATACATTTTTCTTATAGTCATACATTTCGTATTGCAATTATGTTATATCTATATTTTTGTTATGTGATCGTATATATATATATATATATA